ATGCGCTTTGACGTTTTATTTTTACGTTTCGAAGCGGCAGCAGTCTTTTGTGATTTTAAATTAAACGATGATTGTTTGGCGTAATGCAAACGAAATGACGCAAATACGAAACATTTTATTTAGTGTACAGGGTGGGCCAAATAGGAGATAGACGAAAACTAATATAGGTGTCTGGAGCTTAATCTTTATCAAAAATATGATGGTGAAAGCCGCACATCGATACCTGTTACCGTTTCGGAGTTATGGGGTGTTTTTCAAAAAGTGCAACTTCAACAAATCGCTGTAACTTTTTTGCTATGGAAAATTTTGTATTTTTATGACAACATTTCCAAAGCACCTTTTTACGTAGAATATAATAGTTTAAGTATATTTTATTAATTAATAATTTATGAATTATCAACAGAAAATATGATTTTTTATGGGACACACTGTATATTTTTAATTAACTGGAAAGAACTCCCTTTCCAAAAAATATAGCACACTTGATATTTTGAGACAAGGCACCGCCTCAGAACACTGAAGTTATCAGCAGTATCTGAGATGGTTTTACAGAGGTTAATTCTCCATCTCCGATATCACTCCTACCAAAATTTATGGCACGAATGGTTGTCGTTTTGGCGCACTCAGTGATAGGGTGTTCTGGCGTTTCCCCATTTTCCCCACAGAATCTGCATTTGTCGTTATTTCTTAGCTTTAACACCGCGAAAATTCGAAGATTGTTTTTACTTAAACTAAGTTGTAAGTACCAAGAAATTTCTTCGAGTGTCGTATAGTCTAATAGCTAGCAACGTTTTCGAGACAGAATTTTAAGAAAGCTGGCTCTAATATATATTTTTCTATGCGTTCAGGAATAGCTTGTACTTGAAATAGTACACTACTGCTCATTGGAAGAAGATCCTATATTTTTATTTAGGGTGGCTGCAACGATGTCTCGTAATTCTCTTGTTAAAACATAACAGCTGGTTTTTATATAACACCAATTGTTATGTCTTAACAGCAGGATTACGGGACGTCGTTACAGCCACCCTTAGTCCGTTAAATTCTACTATTGAATATACATCAAGCAAGTCACCATAGCGCGATGCGCAAAAGTTCCGCGTATGAAGCGAGAAGTCCGAGTTCGAAATCGGCTCTGGGTAAGCTGTTTTTTATTTTATTCTCGTTTTTATATTCTGATAATAAAGTATTAAATAATTCTACTACGAAAGGATTTCTACTATTTCACTGGAAACGTGCTGGAATTTAATACAGAATGCAATGATAATTTTTATCAGCGTTGCCGACTTGCACAATTCGGACGATATCTTTAGGAAATATTTACTTTTCATAATAGGCAAAATGAAGAAAATCAGTTTATTATATAAGTATATATCTAAAGGAGCCCACAGACGATATAATCGGTTGTACAACTGATCGTACGATAGGTTGGATGAAAGTGACTTGTTGTACGATTAGTTAAATGTTTTAAATGAATTAGTTCAGTGACTCAGTGTATGTTTGACTATGCCACAAACCATGTCAAAAAAACTGTAGCTGCTTTAGTAGTCGCGTTGTTTTCGGATGATAATAGTAATAAAGTGCAAAAGAAGAAAAGGCGCGTATGGTGTAAAAAATGGCTGTTACAAAGACATATTCATTCGCATATGAATCTACTTGATGGTCTCTATAAATTTCAATAAATTCTGTCCAAAACTGCCTATTTTCTTCCATGATGAAACACCACAATCTCACTACACGATGTATTTCTGTATTAACATAGTAGCAACAAGTCGGTGAAAAAGCCACAGACGTTCAAATTTGTCGTTGATCCAACCAAGTTATACGACAGATTTTTAAACATGCTGAACTACCATACGATCCAACCACGTCTTAACGATAAGTTGGACGACAAGCCCACAGACGTTACGATTATCGTTCAAACCGTTGGATCAAACCAAATCGTCCAACTTGTTGTACAACAGATTGGATCGTCTGTGGGCCGTTTAACAGCTACAACAGGAACTACGTTAAAATCGATGTAAATTTGATGGAGTGACTCCTTCAAATTTTTCATTATGACAAAATTTCTATGGATTATAAAAATTATAAATATTCTAATATTTTTTATTAGTAGCATAAATATATAAAATATTATACACTCTTCTTATTTCTTCAAGCTATTGACGATTTATTTACTCAATAAATTTAGCATAATCTCATGTTTTATGATACACATTTTTATATCTCTGGGTCATTACACGCGTTTATATATGCAGAGTAAAATAATATTAGTATACATCTACATTACTGGGTAGCCATATTATGTTGTATTTTCATAAATTTCCTTTTCATCTTATTATTTTATTTATTATTATACCGGGTGCGTCTCGAAAGTGGCTCACCCCTATAGCTCTCTCCGTATTTTTTACTTTATTCGAGAGAAAATTGCACTCCGAATAGAATGACATATTATATGTCAACCTTTGACATTTTCGCTTTAAAAAAATCGTATTTTAAATTTGAATGTAGAGTGCCATGGCCTTGCTAAAACCACTAATTTTTAATCAAGGAGCCTTGGAAAAATAGCTTTGATCGTCTAATGTTTTTCGTATCTTGTTCTGATTAAAAGATTCCCAAATCTTATTTTTGATATATCAATTTTTTCAAATGGAACGAGGTGGTTCATTAGCATATTTGGAAAAAGCATTTTTTTACGAATAATTTGGTACCACACACTTGGTATTTCGAGTAAGTTGTCGTTAAGAAACGCATGTTAACAATTTCAAATAAACAATAGGCGAAAATATCAAAAGTTGGCATATGAAATGTCATTTTATTCAGAGTGTAATTTTCTATAGAATAAAGTAGAATTATACCGAGGGTGCCATTTAAAAATCAAAAGTTGTAGTCATTTCCGGTGAAACAGAAAGTGACAACTTTTAATCATTTTCTGTTTTATTGAATATGTTAATCAATTCTATTTTATGTCATATACTTTCAACATACCAAATTTCGTTTTTTATCGTTATTTTTTATATTCGTTTTTATATATTTATTTCGTTATTGTTAAACTTAGGCTTTAGAGTTGTCTTGGAAATGAAGATTGACTGTCACTTGCAAATGAAAATAAATATATGTATGTAAAATGTAAAATTAGAAGATAAATGTTATTGACCGTAATTTTTAAGCCTTAACGCTGTCATCATACGTCGTTTTATCATACATCAAACTATATAGTTACCATTCAGTTGTAGAGATTCTAGCCTTGAAATTTATACACCTATAAGAAATAAAACTAAGGAAAAAATATAAGTCTATTAAAACACATAGTCGCTTTGTTTAAATAACTTTATTTTCGCTTAATAACAAATAAATTATATAACAAATCACATTTTTACACTGTGTATATATCGGTAATATACATGAATGATAGTAAATAATGTATATCACAGCAATTTACAATTATTTTACGTTTTTCTTAAATTTTCTTTTTACAATCTATCGGTTGAATAGTATTCTATTCCGACGTAATTATTTAAAATGTTTAAAACATTCATTATTAATAAATAGTTTATAGATACTTAGACGATATGAATATCTGATTTGTCAAAACCATTTTTGTTAACGATATAAAAATAACAATAGTCCCTTTTTGTTGGTTTAATTTAATCTAGAATTACTAAAGTAATCAAATCTTTTTAATTTATGTTTTTAGACATATCCATGTTATGGATTTTAATATATTTCTTTTTTAAACGTATTCCTACTCGCAATTCTTAAGAATTTTCTTTTTACAGTTTGATATTGAATCTATTTTAATCGTATACTTATAACGAACAAAATTGTTTTTATAAAAAAGTACCTTAATTCAAACTTATTACTAGAATTTTAAATACAGGATGTTCAATATACTTGAAGAGATATAAGAAAAAAAATAGAAACAGTAATACTACAGTAATACCGTATGATCGAAAAAAAAAACAGTTGGCTGGGAAATGACTATCGATGACATTCCCCTTGTAATTTTACATATAAAATGACAGCGATCTTCATTTCATATCCATCGCTGACGCCGTTTTTTCGATCATATTGTACTAATAATATGTTATATGACTGTAATGTTGCTGTTCAAGTACATACCTAATTTATTTATTTGTATTTGGTGTACCTTGGCTTTGAATAAACTGTGGTAATAACTGGAAACTGTATAATATATTGTTAATTTTTTTTAATTTTTGAAAACGTTAGGGTTAATAATATTGAATGTAGGTACTCTTTTAAACTTGGAAACATATGAGATTATTACTTAATTAAAAAAATTCTATTTCTGAACATATGTATATGCTTCTCAAAATATAAAATCATATGTTTCATAGAAATTCAATTAAGCCTTTCAATAAATTATTATAATCACATACTATTAACAATATACAGGACGGTCTACTATTCAGAAAAAAACTTCATATTAGGTTTCCAACTCGCACTTTTGACTTTAGTAACAATTATAAAATACAGAGTGGTCCGAACTGTATCCAGGAAATTTCGGCAGCATATTCTGCAGTTAAAATTAAGTAAAAAGTTTCGTATAAATGTATGTTCTAAAATGCTTAGTTTTGGAGATACAGGGTGTAGAAGTTTCATTTTTATTTTGATACTTTCCGAATAGTTTCTGAAGTAACGTCAATATTTGGATGAAAATTAGTGTCTGGAAGTGTTTTTGAAATGAGAAATTGGATTTTGATGTTAATATGACTCGTATTTGTAGGCGGCGCCACCTACATGTGACTCAAAAAATACACATTTCCATAGTTTTCTACATAAAAAATGTCTCTTCGGAAAAATCGCTACGAACAACCGTTGTCAAGATATTTAGAATGGAAATAGTTAATACATGTCATTATAATGATAAAACAGTTTCTGTTGAACTTTTAACACAAAACCATTTTAAATTTATGATTTTAGTCTAGTAACTATTTAGTCAACATGTTTAATTTTACTGAGGCGAATGAGGTGCGCCACCCTGTATATTTTTATAAAAAAAAATATATTCCTATTACTCCCCAGATTGGAGTGAAAATCTATAATATGAAACCCAATATGCAGATTTTCCTAAAAAGTTAACCCTCACATATAAATTCAATAATAAACAAATTAAATAAAACTTGATTTAACCTTATTTAACTTTTCACTTTAAAAAAACGTTCTCGTTCACTACAATCATTCGAAACTTTAGAATATCACGTCACCACCTTCCATCTCTAGCTGTCATACCGCACTACCCGAGTAGCTCAGAGCACTGTTCGTTCTTTGCTTACCGAACCCTTCGAACGAACCATCCGGTACGTAGAACGTCTCAGGTTTGGACTGCTTCTTAATTTTCTGGTGTTGCAACGTTTTGCTCTTTCCGCAATACCCGCTAGAGCTGTTCGAACTTGACGAACCTAAATCAGAAACACCCAGAAACCCTTGGTGGAGAGTTGTACCCGGTAAAGTACCGTACTTAGAGGTTGGGGTATTCGAAAATCCTACTGGAGTAACAAAATTTCGATTTTTTATCGTGATGGGGATGGTTTGTCCTGCAAGCCCTCCACCGGAGACCTGGGAATGTCCGGTACAACTTGCACCAGCTGAGCAATAGTTGATCTCCAGAGTTCCGGCACTGGATAGGTCGCTGCTGGTGGCAAAGTCTTGGCATCTGTTGGTAGTGCAAACGTCGGGGGGTGTTTTGCTGAGAATGGGACCGTGTTCGTCGACTTCGAACTGCTCTAGGGGAACCTGTTGTTCAGCACCAACTGGTTCGTACGTTGGGCGGGGTTTGGTGTGTCGGATGAGGTACTCGGTGGAGATTTGGTGCTCGCGGATCTTGCGCTCGCCGCCTGGTACCATCTTGCATACCTGGAACAAAAGGGAATTTGTGAATTCTTACTACCCTGTGTATTACATATTTTAATAATTATTGTATATTGATATACAGGAATATTCACCACATACGACGTGGAATATTGCAGCTAAACGATTAGATTTTTACAAATTGTAAGTTTTGGGTTCGTTGAAGGACTATTAAAGCTACAGTTTTAAAAATATTTTTACAAAATACGGAGTGTCCCAAATAAATAAAAAATATCAAAGTTATCTATTTTTTAAATAGAACACTCTGTATATTATTCTATTTTTAGATTCTTCGACTGAAATAAAAGTAAATTTGATTAAGTTTTATCATGCTTAATCCTCACCGTTTTTGAAATATTTTCAATTTTTTGAAATTGCTGTAAATATTTTAAGGCTTCATTTCTCCAAGGGTATCAAAGTTTTTAATACTAAATATTTAACAGTTTTTTTATTTATACAGTTTTTTTTATTATTTTTTAGCGAAATAAGCAAACTAATATATAAAATCCTTAAGTGACTCACTCATTAATCACGATCCTGCTCAAACCACTCAAAGTAAGAAGCTCAATTTTGGCATAGAAGTTGATTCTAGGGTGTAGAGGTTCGATAAGGAGGGTTTTTTTGAAATTCCAGTTCCAAGGGGTTATTTGAGGGGTGAAACCACCCCTCAAATATTACAAAATTTTTATTTAAAAAACGGCCAAGTTTCCGAAAAAACGCTTAAACACGTATATTTTAGTTTGTTTTTTATATATTTTAAGATTTTTTATAAATGTATACAGGGTGTTTCGAAAAATCTGGTCATTGATTAATCACGACGCTGCTTAAAGCACTTGATATAAAAAGCTGATTTTTGGATAACAGATTGACTTTAGGGTATAGAGGTTCGTAAAGAAGGGATTTTTCGAAACTCGAATTCTAAGGGGGTGAAACTATCCTTCAAATACTAAAATATTTTTTATTTAAAAACCGGTGAGTTTTTCGATAAAAATCTAAAACAGGTATATTTTATTTTGTTGTTTTACATATTTTAAGATTTTTAAAAATTTATACAGGGTGTTTCATAAAATATGACCATTGAGTGATCACGATTCTTGACGTTTAAAGCTAATTTTGACAAACGGATTGACTGTGGGGTGTAGAGGTTCGATAAGGAGGGGTTTCTCGAATCTCAAATTCCAAGAGGGTGAAAACGCCCCTCAAATATTACAATATTTGTTAATTAAAAAACGGTTAGTCTTTCGGGAAAACGCTTGGACACGCATAATTTATTTTGTTTTTTTACATATTTCGAAATTTTTTAAAAAATCATACAGGGTGTTCCAAAAAGTTGAGTAATTGATTAACCACGATCCTGCTTAAACTGCTTGACGTGAAAAGCTTATTTTTGCCAATCGGATTTTTCGAAAGTCAAATTCCAACGAGATTAAACTACCCCTCAAATATTACCAAGTTATATAATAATATCGCCATATTGTTTTTTCTCATGCTGACATAAATGTGAGAAAATTGTATCCACTTTGTATATCAATGGAAATTCTTGTTTTGCTTTATCATCACCATTACAAATTATTAATTCGACGCGAACGAAGTCGTGGGTACACGCTAGTAGTATATAAAAATGTCATTGTCGAAGAGCATTGCTTACTAAATAAGTAGATATTTTGTAAAATATTTCATTTTGCAATAAAAAAATCGAAAAAAAATCCAAATTAATACGTGGCGATTAAGATTTAATTAAGGCATTTATTAACGCTTATAATCTCCTTGTCAGAAGCATAACGTTGGGAACGAGCTTAATCCCCGAGCGAGGCAGTGAATGGCGACGTCTAGCGGAGAAAATTAAAAAGCCGTAATGAAAAACAAAGAAACAAAACTCTATCTCTTGTTTCGCGCGTTTCTCTTCCGTATTTTTACAGAAATATTGCGCGGAAAATTTATTTATGAAGCGTCCTTTGTACCGTTATAAAATAAAATTTGTTACGGAAAAAAATTGTTTAAGGTGCCCTGGGAAAAGGAATAGAATTTCTGAAGAAAATGTTTGGATTTAATGAATCGTGTATTGCTTTCTGACAAAAATTGTATTTGAAATTAATACCATAACTACAAAAGTGTTAAAAAAAGTAAGCAGAGAAAGGAAATTAACTCTTTTAGATTTTTAATTCCTTTCGATTTATTTTTTATACAGGGTTTTTTGCTTTCAATATACAGGGTGTCAAACAATAGTGTCATATCGTCAGTGAAATGTGATAAACTGCTAACTCCATTATTCAAATACTTCATAAAAAACGGTAAAAATATGTAGGTACACATGTAAGAAGTATATTCATGCGTTAATATGATAAAGAGATAATAATTTTATTTGCTGAAACAATAAAACTCAATATTTCGTGTTACTTTAATTTTTTCAGACATAATAGGGAGATAGCAGATATTCGTCTTGCAGAAATAAGAAATAAAAATATACTTCTGGAGATAGCAACCTTTATTGCTTGAAATTTTGAAAATGGAATTGAATACCTATTACTCAAACAGATTTAGAAATAATCAATTCAATTTTAAAAAAATATGATAGTATAGATGGTTATGAATATCATATTAGTATAGATGGTTATGAATAATATATAAAATCCTTAAGTTATTGACATACTGATTAATCACGATCCTGCTCAAATCACTCAACGTAAGAAGCTCAATTTTGGCATACAGGTTGATTCTAGGGTGTAGAGGTTCGATAAGAAGGGATTTTTCGAAATTCCAATTCCAAGAGGGTGAAACAACCCCTCAAATATTACAAAATTTTTTATTTAAAAAACGGTCAAGTTTCCGAAAAAAACGCTTAAACACGTATATTTTATTTTTTTACATATTTTAAGATTTTTTAAAAATGTATACAGGGTGTTTCGAAAAATCTGGTCGTTGATTAATCACGATCCTGCTTAAAGCGCTTGACGTAAAAAGCTGATTTTTGGAAAACAGATTGACTTTAGGGTGTAGAGGTTCGATAAGAAGGGATTTTTCGAAACTCGAATTCTAAGGGGGCGAAACTATCCCTTAAATATTAAAATATTTTGTTTGTATATTAAATTATTCTTCGGAAGAACTCTTAAACACGTATATTTTATTTTGTTGTTTTACATATTTTAAGATTTTTTATAAATTTATACAGGGTGTTTCATAAAATATGACCGTTGAGTATTCACGATTCTGCTTAAACTGCTTGACGTTTAAAGCTGATCTTTGGTAAACGGATTGACTGTGGGGTGTAGAGGTTCGATAAGGAGGGGTTTCTCGAATCTCAAATTCCAAAACGGTGAAAAAGCCCCTCAAATATTACAATATTTATTATTTAAAAAACGGTTAGTCTTTCGGGAAAACGCTTGGACAAGCATAATTTATTTGTTTTTTTACGTATTTTGAAATTTTTTAAAAAATCATACAGGGTGTTGCAAAAAGTTGGGTAATTTCTTAACCACGATTCTGCTTAAACTGCTTGACGTAAAAAGCTTATTTTTGGTAAACGGATTTTTCGAAAGCCAAATTCCAACGAGATGAAACTACCCCTCAAATATTACGTTAATAAGTTGTGTAATAATATCGCCATATTGTTTTTCCTCATGCTGACATAAATGTGAGAAAATTTTATACAGTTTGTATGTTAATGGAAATTCTTGCTTTGCTTTATCATCACCATTACAAATGATTAATTCGACGCGAACGAAGTCGCTGGTACACGCTAGTATATTTTTGTAATATCGAAGGTCTGGAGCTAAAATACACAATTCCAAAACGAATAAATTTTTAATGCATTTTTAATGAACTAAAATAGCGCCATTTTGTACAAAATGTATAAAATAATTTACAAATTTAACTTATAGTTCTTAGAAGATATGGTAGATTTTTCCTGCATATAGCTCTATATTCTGGATAGAAATCTAGTAAAATGATATTACATTGGCCACTTGCAAATTGGTCGATTTTTGTTTAAAGGCAGGATGCTGAGCCTATTTTTTTTACGACAACGGTAGCAGGCCGAACTTGGAATCATTTGTGTGAAAAAACGTTGAAGAGAAAAAATAAAATTGATTAAGTAATTATTTTTGGCCACGGCTAGTGATGAAACTTATTTATTTTTCTACAAGTAAGCGATATTATTACTAACAATATTAAAATATATAATATTATTCCATTGTATTTATTTTACGCCCATAAATTGCTCAATGTAGAGATAACTTTGTTTGGAAAAATAAAAATGAAATGAACAATTTTGTGCATTTTGAAAAACTTGCATCTGCAATCGAAACGACTCCTCATTGGCAGGTAAATTTACTTTCTGATGAGGTGGAGTAAATGCGAACGATGATGTACTTGGTAATACATCCGTGGAAGTGGTCGCGATTTTCTTTCTCCCCATTAGCAGTTTGCAAACTTTCTTCTTTTTCTCAATAGATTCTTCTATGTAACCTTCGGCCACTGGCGGACGACCTAAATAATTATTATTTGTTTAGAACAAGATCGGAAAATATTAAAATTTTTACCTCCAACCTCCTAGGCGTTTCAGCGATGTAAAATCCACATCTGCATCTGCAGCAAGAGTAGCAGAACTACGACCTGTATATTCGTTTTTTCTATCTTTAAAACGCTGCTAATCGATGGCATCTTCCCAAATGAAAATGGAGTTGCACGGTAATCACGTTTCACTGACGATATAAAGTTATGAGCTTGTTAAAAAGGTGCTCTTCGTTTAGTTCTAAACAACTAAACGGTTTCAAGATATTGCGTTTAAACGTTACAATCTTCGATTTTAGTGCTAGTGAAATGATAAAATGTAAAGAAATTTTAAGTAAATTAATCTCTTGATTTCGTTACATTATTGTACTCAGGAAACCGAGTTCTTTCAAAACCTGAAAAAAAAAATGTAGGTCCGTATTAAAAATAAAAATTAAGTTGGCCTCTGTATCTCACAAAGTATCAACTAATATGAAAATCTAAAAATACTGTCAGAG